GCAATGGAGCAGAGCGGGGGGGGGGGGTGGTGTGAGGGAATGCAAACTCCTTTCAGTATATGCAGCACACACCACTATTTTTCATGCTAAATAGTATATGCAAGAAAGGAAGCTTACATGAAAAATATGAAAAGCTGGTTAATGAAAGGAGGTAGGGAAAAGCATTTCTTAAAAGAAAACTATCAGTATTTTTACCTGGACTCTTTCTACTGTCCGCATTACAAGTTTAGCATGCTTGGCCATGCTGTTATATGACTATAAAGTATGTAAATTGTAAGATTTCTTTAGCTTTTTCTTACATTCAAATCCACAACCATACTATACTTCTTAAAGTGCTCCTTAGATTTTCCAAATTACATGTCCACTTTTCTCAAAATTCATCCAAATTGCTTGTCTAATTTAGGATTTTATATTGGCTAGTTCATAATGGACAAAGTTAATTATTTTCTCTTTTTGTGAGGTAAGCCTTCCAATTTTGCTCTTCATGTTTTAAATTAAACTGTCCCATTACAAAGTCCTAAGCAATAAGGTCTTTCCTGTTCCCTAGTTGTTCCCATTTTTTCTCATACTATGCTTTTGGGATAAATTATTTGAAATCAGTGTTAGCTCTCACAGAATTGTATGTGTGCTGTAAAATTTCTAACTCAAAGATATGTCTTAAACACTTAGCAGGAATAAATAAGCTTTGTTGTTCTCCCCCCCCAGCTTGTGATGATGAATGCACAGGACTCCTTCTCAGTGACCTGGATCGGCTAAACCAGATGATCCTGAGTGTTAACCTTAGTGGTCCACTGCCTGCTCCATATAAAATGTTGCACGGTTTTGAGAACATGACACAGGAATTAAAGGTACGTTCACAGTATTCACATACATAAATACCAGGGCTTCAGTACAACTGTACTTGAATGTGTTCAAACGTACAGCCATGAGTAGGATCAGGCAAGAAGAAAAATTCAAAATGTAATTACTTCAAACTTGTTTTGGTTGATAAATAGTTATTACAGTTATTTATTTTTACTTATTTTAATAAATAATAATTGCAGCACTAATTTGTGTACTTATATGCAAGGAATTATTCTGCAGACATACAAAAAGTGATGTTACATACAAATAAAATGGTGTTCATGCTGGTGGTCCATAAAGCAGTTATGTATTTTATATACTGTATGTTCCTGCCATACTTATAGGTTCTCCACTAAACTATGTAAAGCTGTCAAGATTCCTGAGAAAAGTATGTTGGGTGGATGCGACAGAAGAGTCAATGACAAAAGGGAGTTGCATACTGCAATGAAAAGGAAATTTTTGATGCTTCTTTTATACAATATTTGGAAGCACTGAGATCCATTAAATACAGATTTTCACTCTCCCTCTCTATTCCCCAACAGCATTTGCTTTCACCTCAGCGAGCACCAGAGAGACTTCTTCAGCTAGCACAAGGAAATTTGGATACCCTGGTGACAGAAATGGATGAACTACTGACAAGAGTAAGTCTATGATCACGTTGGGGTCTATGAGTTTGGTTAAGGCTGCATAATGACAGAAATCTTCTGAATATGAATTAAACATGAATGAATATATGAATTATAAGATGCTTCTCAGTCTCAGTGTTTGAAACGGCAGCAAGTCCTCTAACAACCTCTTTTTGTGGGCCAATACATTGAGATATATTTTCTGCAAAACTTTATAATAATGTAAGAAAACTTTATAATGCTCATATGGAGCACCCAAGAATGAACTTATTTGGAAAAGCTGACACTAAAGGAAAGAGAGTTCTTGATACAGCATTTACAGGCTTTCCCATGACTTCAGCTACAGGTTTAGTTACAAACCTAATGGCAACAAAACCATGGGATTACCACAATTTCTCACATGTCTGGAGTTTTTCTTTGACTGGCTGAGGCTTTTGAAAACTGAACTGCCTGATTTCCTTCCTTTTCTTCTGAACATTAGTACTGTCTCTGGTAAGGCTATGTGCGTTCTGCATCAGCAACATCATCTCATCATATTCCCTTCCAAATCTCCTGACTCTGACTGTCTCAAGATAGTTCTCAGCGTGTTTCTCTTTTAAGATTGCCTGTTGCAGTACAAGTAGCCTGGCTTCACTCAGTGTTACTTAATGCCCAACCAGCTCAAGCACATCATACTAAAAGTTTTGCTGTTTTGCAGTTTCATTTTCCATTTTGGGTTATATGTTGTGTTGGCATGTTTCCCCAGGAGCTGTAGAGCAAATGGTAGCCTAGCCTGATTCCCTTATTTTAAATAAATTTTATACCAAGTCAGTGGAAGTCCTGGTTTAACAAATAACAAGTTCTCATTAAGAGTAAATGAATGAAGTAATTGAAATGGGGACGATATTTAAAGGGAGAATTCAAATATATGCACAAGGTGTGTGAGTTTATTTAAATATATGTGTTCTATATTTCATTTATGAGGGTAGTGAGAGTCTTCTGGATTTCAATCGATGTGCTATTTACTCTTTTTATTAGGAAAGTTTTATTTCAATATAGACCTTATTTTGGTGAGTAAAAGACATTGTCTAAGAAAATAATATAAATTGTGCCACCTAGTGGAGAAAAAAATAGGGAAATGGATCAGCTACAATAAAAACACAGCTGTCCAAAATATATTAATATGGACTAGCAAAAATCATGTTCTTGAGTTGTGCTTCCCTGCATTCAAACAGTCAAATAAGAAAGACATGGATTGCTCTACTGATGAATATACACCTGAGAGAATTTACCTAAACCCCATACAGTTTTAGCATCTGTGGTGAGTTGACCCTGGCTGGAGGCCAGGTGCCCACCAAAGCCGTGCTATCACTCCCCTCCTCAGCTGGACAGGGAGAAGAAAATATAATGAAAGGCTCGTAGGTTGAGATAAGAACAGGGAGAGATTGCTCACCAGTTACTGTCACAGGCAAAGTAGACTCGACTTTAGGAAAAATTAATTCCATTTATTGCCAATCATATCAGAGTAGGATAATGAGAAATAAACCCAAATTTTAAAAACACCTCCCCCCACCCCTCCTTTCTTCCCAGGCTTAACTTCACTCTCAATTTCTCTCCCTCCTCTCCCCGCAGCGGCACAGGGGGACGGGGAATGGGGGTTGTGGTCAGTTCATCACACGTCTCTGCCACTCCTTCCTCCTCAGGGGGAGGACTCCTCACACTCTTCCCCTGCTCCAGCATGGGGTCCCTCCCACGGGAGGCAGCCCTCCATCAACTTCTCCAATGTCAGTCCTTCCCACGGGCTGCAGTTCTTCAGGAACTGCTCCAGCGTGGGTCCCTCCCATGTGGTGCAGACCTTCAGGAACAGACTGCTCCAGCGTGGGTCCCCCATGGGGGGACCAGCAAACCTGCTCCAGCCTGGGCTCCTCTCTCCACGGGGCCACAGTTCCTGCCAGGAGCTTGCTCCAACGTGGGCCACAGCCTCCTTCAGATGCCCCCACCTGCTCCAGCGTGGGGTCCTCCACGGACTCAAGGTGGATATATGCTCCACCATCAACCTCCGTGGGCTGCAGGGGAACAGCCTGCCTCACCATGGTCTTCTCCAGGGGCTGCAGAGGAATCTGTGCTCTGGTGCCTGGAGCACCTCCTTCCTCTCCTTCTGCACTGATCTGGGTGTCTGCAGAGTTTTTTTCTCTCATATATTCTCACTTCTTTCCCTTCTGGCTGCTGCTGGTGCAGCAGTTTTTTGGTTCCTCCCCTTCTTAACTACGTTACCCCAGAGGCACTACCACCGTCGCTGATGGGATCAGCCTTGACCAGCGGCGGGTCCATCTTATAGCCAGCTGGCATTGGCTCTGTTGGACATGTGGGAAGCTTCTAGCGGCTTCTCACAGAAGCCACCCCTGTAGCCTCCCCCCACTACCAGAACCTTGCCACGCAAATGCAATACAGCATCCTGTCTTAAAATTGTTCATGGCTTACAGAACTAAAATTCTCAGTGAAAGTGGTTTGTTTGTGTGGATGATATACAATTTTGAAAAAAATCATGAAATCATGGGCAGTGGGTAAGAAAGCATCTTTAGTGTGTTTGCTTATGTATGTATGTATTCCTGTGTGTATATACCCCCTCCCCCCCACATGCATACAGAGGTATCTATGCTCGTTTTTTCACTTCTGTTTGATCTTTTATTTTTCTGCCAGAAATAACTATGGTCATTTTACGTCTACGTGGATTTTTAGCTCATGACAGCCCTATAAGCGAGGAATATTATATTTCTTGTGTTAAGATTTCTCAATCTTAAGGCTAAAAGACACTTGTTTTTTCCTTTGCATAGTTGCTCTTTTTAGTATCATTTTCCAATTGTCCACCACCACCAAAAATTAAATAAATTTTAATCCTCCATGGAGATGACCTTAAATAATGTTGCAAATTCTGACCTTCTTTGGACTAGACTTGGAAGGAAAAATATTGAAGGCCTGATCTTAGGGGATTTATTGTGGTGACCAGATTACCACCACTTCCCTTTCTGCAGTTTTCTATTGTTGCAATGCATAAGTAGCCTTACAATTTCCAGTTATTGTTACAGAGAGTTGTTACCTGGATTTCAGTTGTTTTTTTCAATACGGGAACTGGCAACTGGTGGCAAGTCCTACCCTTCTCTTTCTATGTTTGTAAATAGGAGTAATGTCCCAAAAAGAAGAGTCCTGATATAGTGTGTTCAAGTCTCATTTCTAAATGAAGATATAGCTGACAACCATGTAATGGCTAACACTGGGAGCATATGGTACAAACCGTAGGTAACAAAGTTTTTCCCCATATCTGATTTGCAGGCTCACTACATTTTCAAAGCAAAACCAGTAGCTATGAAAAAAAAGGTTGATGAGAATTGGTGAGGAGTCTATTTCCTTGAATGAAAACCTCTATCCATTTTAAGATAGAATGTAGAAGACAATGGTATTTAGTCACTACAAAACTTTTGAGATTTTTGCTTCCTTGTGGTCTCTTTTCAACTAGTTATCTCTTACATCAGTGCAGCTTTCCTTTTTCTTTTTTTCCATCATATTCTTTCCTTCATTCACTCTGCCATACAGAAGATCCTTATGTCTTTCTCACACTAGTTCTTAAATGTTTGCATGCACATTCCCACGTCTACCACCAGAGGCAGACCTCAGACTCATCACTTCCTTTCAGTTCACTACTTTTAGTCAAAACCCCCTCTTCCCTTCCAATTAGGTACCTTCAGACCCTTCAAGAAAGACAGGGATCAGAATCACTCCTCTTGATTGAAATGCTTGTTTTGACTTTGTAAACTTTTTCATTTCTCCCATACCGCTGAATTTCTCAAGCTCAAAAGTTTCTGGAAGTAGTAGCAGAGACAACTTAGTTTGCAATAATTGAAAGCATTTGGAGGGACAGCCAAGAACTTCCATCTGTACAGTGAGATCTGTGTTAACTCCTTCTTCTGTGGTCTGCCACCACTAGCTGGAGAAATTGCTGCAGGGCTCCCCTCCAGATGCCATCCAGAAGAGTTTTTTATGGTTTGATTGAGACTTCAAACCAAACACACAAACAAAACAAAACCAAAAATGTGTGTGTATTTGCTAATACTTGCTAAGAGTCTAAGTTACTAAGTGGCTAATAGTCTTCAGATTGGGACAAGACCTTCCATGGAACCTTCATCACTAAGTACAAGCTGTGAACATTGCCAAAGCAGGTCACTGATCTCAGATACTTTCTTTACTAGATTTCCGTGGTAGGGATCTCCTTCATACCACAACTTCTTGAAGATTAATTCCAAATCCTTGCTCTGGCTCCAGTCTGACTGATCCTTATGGTTGTCCCTGAAACATTTTGTTGTGCCTGTTTAAACCATTGGGAGATGCTGAAGACTGACCTTATAGAATGGTGACCTGTAGTAAACTGTATATATAGAAAATGAGTAGGACTTTATTAAAAAAAAGGAAACATTTAATTAGCCATGGAATGGCTAGGTACAGTGTGAAGGATTTTTGCCTTTTAATTTGGTTTATGGAGTTCAAGCTAGACCAGATAATGAAGCAAAAGTTTATTTTTCAGCAAAGCAAGTTATGGCAAAATACAGAAAGTGGAGCTGAATGGGATTTAAGTACTAAAAGAACTGTCACTGAGAGAAAATGAAAACTGTTCAATGACAGATTAATGTGCACAAAAATGTCGTACATGCCATTCAGTCATAAATATTGAGAGGTTAAAGTGGCCAGTTGGAATTAACATGAATGTGGAAAAAGTAATCAAAACTAAGAAAAGTATATGTAAGTTATAAAACACCATTTGTAGCAAAGGACTTAGAAATATTATAGAATATAATAAAAGTGAATGTGAAAATTCCAAGCAAATAAAACCCAAAGAATAAAAGGCTGATTGTGGATGATTTGACAGTAAATAATACAGTAGTTCTCAATTACATGAAGAATGAAATGACATCAGAAATGCCAAGCTGGTTAGAGCAGTGGTCCATCAAGACCATTCTCTATTTTTGCCTTTTTATTATCCTAATTGCCTCTTACAGCTCACTGTGACAATAATTTAGTTCTGTATCCAGGCAGGTAAAGGAGTTTGGTAAATCATAGAGGAAGCAACCAGTAGCATGACTAAAGCTGTATAAATGTGAAAAGCCGTGTTGTTCCACTGATACAGGGATGAAGCAAAACCAACTCCCCCGTCAGTAGGGGTTCTTAATTCTTCCGGTATAATTCTATTTACCTGAACCATTTTCAGATGAATTACTTTCAGAGTAACTACTCTGAAGTAGACCAAAACTGTAAGTGGTATGATAAGTCCAGGGATTTCATTTCAGAAACCCAGCTGTCCTGATGTATCTTGAAGACTTCCATCTAGAAGCTAATCAGGCAAAAATAAATGTGTTAAAGTGATACTATTTGACTGTTATTGAAATGTGTGAAGGTTTTTTGTAACTGAGAAAACAGTTTGTACAGCTCAAGTCAGAGAAAACTCAAGCTCATTTTGAATTATTGACCTTCTATCCATTTCCCAGAGACTGGAAAGATCATAATGCCCTGCTTCGAGACATTTCTTGGGAATGCAATCCCCAGAGAAAAAAAGTGGGATTTTTGCTTTACAGTACAGTTTCACAAGCTTTATTGCTTGAAATGGTCAGCTGATTTGTAATAAAAAGGGGTCCATTTTGTAAACAGAGACCTTGAGAGTTAAGCAGAATGTCTTAAGATGATTCCTTTCCTTAGCGTGTTTTTCAGGTCTGCAGCAGACGTCTGTCTTCATCCTGCTGCTGCTGCTGTGATTCAATAAAATTATAAACCATTTAGTTCCACAAAGCCAAAATTTTACTGAGCACCCCAATATATTATAAACAAACAACCTCAAGCATTAGAGCTGAAAGAAACAACTTTTTTTTCCTCCCTCTTTCTTGGTTTAATTAATGTATTGATTTAAAATTCTTCTTGCTTGTTGGCATGAACTGTCTCTTTGAGAACGCCTCCAGGGAGGAAGCAAAGAGGTCATGATATCTACTGCACTTTGTCAATCGAAAAGTACACAATTTTGAAACTATGGAAAGTATTCCCTAAAGAATCTATTAAAAGGTTCCAAACAATGTTTCTTTAAGCAAATTCAGTGAATGATTTCATCCTGTCTCCCTTTGTGTGCTGTTGCACACAACTAGGATTTCTAAGAACCTAAAATAAAGCCTTCCAATTTCCATTTAAAGGAAATGGTAATAAAATTTAATTGTGTACTTGAACAGAGCATGTCATTTCCCATGCACCTGATCAATAATTCATTGATTGCCTTTTGCCTGAGGAAAGTTTTGTACACAGACTCAGTCAGTAGGAATATTGCATAGTGCAGCCTTGTCCTGTTTATTAATTGTACTTTTCCTGACTTTGGATCACTAGGCTACCAAGGTGACAGCAGATGGTGAGCAAACCAGGCAGGATGCTGAGAGGACTAATGACAGAGCGAAATCTCTGGGACAGTTCGTCAAAGGCATTCTCCAAGCTGCTGAAGGTATTGGAAAAAGAAAAATATGCCAATTGTTTCTCAAGACAACTGAAGGATGGTGGGGAAGAGGGTCTGAGAGACAGCGAGGAAGAATTTATTCACTGCGTAGTGTCATGTGCTTTAAATGTTGAGTGAAGAAACTATGGTCAACTATCTTCAGACTTTTTGTAATCTACAGATGCAGCTTATATAAACAGTTAGTGCATTGGTAATTATGAACAAAGACTATCAGAATATTGAGAATGTTCCTTCAGCTATTTTGCAGTTATTTAAGAGAAAAAAAAAGCTATTATGATGAAGTAACTAACAGGACTTAGCTTTTGTTTATTTTCAAAGCAGTTAAAAACATGTATTGGTAAAAAAAGCTTGATGTAATTTTAGCACTTGGTACATTAACACTTCATCTTAATTCCCCCAAATGACTTAAAAAAAACATTACTACTTGCTGTTAATGAACATCTGCTGCTCGTAATTTGCAAGTGACTCCTAACCATACCTAAATAGTGGCATGGAACCAACTCTCTTCCACAAGCTGATTCACTGCATTTACAAATGCAGTAAAGACTTATGAGCAAAAGTATTGTAGATGGCTTTGAGAAGCAAGACCTATATATCGCATGAAGCTATTAAATAAGATAATAGCCGAAAAGTAGGAAAATAATTGGCCATCACAGGCAGGTTTTTTACTTGAAAAATACTGATCTGTTCTTTCTTCTTATGAACTCCCACTACAGTACTAATTTCAGTAGTTATGCTTCTGAAGGCCCATTTCATTAAGAGGAAAAGCTTTCACTTTTGTCCAAGTGCTATAAAATACGTTTTACATTGCCTTTTGTGTAACACATCCCAGTACATGCCCTGCAGCTAACTGATCAGCAATTTAGGATATCTTTAGGACATGCAACTTTGACATGAAATAAATATGGGAAAAGCAACAAGAAAAAGTAAGCAAGTTTTCAACAATTTTTTTAAACAAAAGACCAGTTTCTTCATATTTCAAGATGAACAAGGGCTAAACCAATTTTTTACTCCTCAAAGTTTATGTCCAGCGATTGTAACCCAAGCCAAAGTTTCCTCAAGCAGGTTTAGCAATAGGAAGTACAGAATTAGAAGACATTGAGGGGGTGAAAGAAATTTATGTGGTATCTCAGAAGTAGACAAAGACTTTAAAATCAATGTGTTTGCCTAGTGGCCAAGTTAACATTTTAGGAATAGATGAAAGATAGGAGCACAGGACTGAAAGATACCTCCGGTGCATTCACTCCCTGGCTATCATAAACTTTCTAACCCTCATCTTCAAAGTAGTGCCCACAAATGCACACAATCTGAATAGCAGGCAGTTTCGGAACTCTTCATAACTACAAACCTTCTCATTTCTACCTAAAAATATTGATGTTTAGTTTATCATCATGTATTCTTTTGCCAACCTTGTTCTTTAGTTCAATTGTTCTTTTCTTCTCCCTAGTGCTTCTCCTCCTGCTCCCTCATGTTTGTGGAGAGGACTCAAATTCCCCTTCAGCCCCTTTTTTCTAGACTAAGACACCTTAAAGCATATTCTCCCAAATCTCCTGCTCACCTTCATATCATTTCCCTTCCTTTGTTCAAAATTAGGTTCATCTTTCCTGAGCACAGGTAACAAGCATTGAAATGAACTTGCTCCAGTGTCTTGCACTTCGGTAACAGTAAAACCTGCCTATGTCAGCTCTCTTAATACATTCTGGGATAGCATTTCCTTTTGTTCACAGCTGAGTGGAGATTCATAATACAGCTATGTTCTTATCATTCATACCTTATATCTAACTGGCAAAGCCATAGTTTACAGCTGAACTATCCACAGACTTCAGAGTTTTTTTCTTTTTTAAACTTTTTTTCCAGGATCATTAATGAAAATATTCAACTGGATTTGCTTTTAAACTGTATAGTCTGACATGTGCTACCTTTGGGAAAAAACAAAACAAAAAAAACCAAAACACATTCATTTATTATACATCGTGTTTTCCACTTACTTCCAAAGCAAGTGGAACTTACTTCCAAAGCAAGTTCTCAGGCCTTAGTCGAATTCCTGTTTCTTCACTCAGACAGTCTTCTTCCTGGATTTGCAATGTCATGCACCAGATCTTTCAAGTTTCTAGAATGGCAGTTCTCTGACCATTCCAGCTTGAGTTCCCAAAATGTTCTTCCTGTAGTTGTGATAATTTCTATATCTTTACTTCTGATTACCATCCTCAATTGTCTTCCTGTTCAAGATCATCATCTTTCAAAAACTTAACATAAACTTTCACCTTACGTTGGAGCTATTCCTAGATTATTTTAAAATTTGATGGCATTTTAACTGCATATTGACCCTATACCTTCTTTGTCTCTGCTCTTTTTGACCTATGAGACATTTCTATATTGTTCCTTAAAGACTTTGTGTCCACTCATGATGTTCTGATTGAGATGACCAACCAGTTTGAAGGTATTCTTTATGCCTATTCCTTGTCCACCATCCCTAGATTACAGATTTCTGAAAGTTATAGTACTTTGGATCTCTTGGAATGCAGGTCTCTATCTGTGACCCTGAGCTCCCTTGTACTTGTTGCCAGTAGGCAACAACTTTAGGATGAAATGCCATGAAAGTACCCATTTCTTTCCATTGACTGAAGGTAATGCTTGAGAACAGCATTGCTCAGAAGTACATGATTGTAGATGACAGATGCTTCCCTAAAAGTGAGGGAATCAAGGAATTCTTCAAACCATAAAAAATCCTTATTACAAATGAGAAGTTTCTAGTGATTTGTTGTAACAACCATACTCTGACCATTGATCCATTTCTACTGAACTGATTGCTGACTTTCTGAATACCTGTAACTAGTTTTCCCTCTTAACTATGGAATTTCCCCATCTTTTCTACTTCCTTGTGTTCATCTATGTCAGTGCATCCGAATCTTTTACCACTGCTGGACTCTGATAGTTTGCAGTATAGTAAGACTAGAAAGTAAAGATTTTTATAAGAGGAGGAGGACAGAGGAGAAAGATAAAGCTAGGTATAAATTTTCCTGAACCTAATAAAAGCTGAGATAACATAACCATTTTCTCTTTCAAGGTAAATATTCAGGGAGGTTAAATTACTATTTATTCCAGATTTAAATATATATATA